TTCATTTAAAAAGAAATTTGATTACCATCAATTTCATTTGTAATGCAATTTAATGCTGCCACCATAAAGACTAAGCATCCACCGGCTTCACATTTAACCATCATCATCATCATCATTTTTATCAGTTTTAAAATTGTTTGGTTCGGACAATTGTAAATTTGTTTCCAAATTGTATCCACACACATACACACACACACTCACATTGTAAATATCCCCACAAATTCTTTATCGTTTATCATGAAATCGGGTCGGGAATGATGATCCCTTTTGAAATTGTTTGTTGTTTTTGAAACCAAAACAACAAAAAAATAAAACATAATTTCAGTTTTTTATATATTTCAAAAAAAATTTTTCATTCAACTTCACCAGTTATATATTGGCTTTTATTTCATTTGAAAAGAATAATCCCTAAGCATTCAATCCTCTCTCTCTCTCTCTTTCTCCCCTCCAATATCATATAGCAGAATTGAAGTTATTTGTAGTTTGAAGAATTTTCAACAAAAAATTCTCTAATGTCATGTTATTTTTTTTTTGTTTTCATTCAATTATATCCTAGAAAATTTTTCTAAAGAAGATAAATTGATGATGATACTAGTAACGGCCCGGGTTTTTTTTTGTTTTGTTTTGTTTCGGGATTTTTTTACCCATTTTGTCTGGAAAAATTACAAAAACATTTTTCTGTAACAATTCGGTAACAATTTCTTTGGTTTGATCCAAAAGGGATGATGATGATGATGATGATTATCATCATCAAGTTTTGAGAAGAAAAAAAAAACTTAAAATCCATCATCATAATCATCATAATAATATAGTCATTGAAATTTTTTTTATAACAGAAAAGATTTTCTTTTTCATAATAACCACCACAACCAACTACTACTACTATAAATGAATCATTTATCATTCTATTGACCGATATGAAACAAACCTTGGATATGAAAATTCCCATTATTTTCCCGTTCACCAACTGATAGCCATTGTTCATCATCATCATCTACACGAGCCACAAAATTACCACGATTTCTTTCTTGGATAATTTTTTTTTTGTTTCAAACAAAAGAGAAATCCCATGTTTCATAATTTCGATTTGTATTAAATTACTTTTTTGAAAATTGATAAAGATGAACGAACCAAAAAAAAGTTTAATTGTATACCATGTCATTATTTTTGAAACACAGAAAAAAAAATTTCAAATTGAATGAAATATTTTGGGCCAAATACCATTGAATAAGGGCAATTTTGGATATTTAAAGTTATTATATTTTTCGTTTGAATTTGAACCAAAGTGGTAAAAAGAGCAAAAGAGAGAGAGAAAGATAGTGAAATCCAGTAACTTTGGATAAGGTTTGAAAAAAAATTGTTCCATTGAGAATTCTAATACATTCATTCATTTTGTCGTGGACGCGATTCATTTGATTCAAATGTGTAGGGGACGAAAAACAAAACAAAATTCTCTTCATTAGAATCATCCGGAATAATAATAATAATAATAATATAAATGTCTAAATCGATCCAATTCGAAACTTTTCCCGAAAACAAAAATTCTAATTTTCAATCCAAGTAACTAGAAAGTGAAGAAGAAAAAAAAAGTTGATTTTCAATTTACTTTTCTCGCTCCTGTTTCTTAAACACATTTGCATCCACACACACACATCCATTAACCTCTTTTCATAACAAAATATCATTTCTTAATTTCAAATTGGTCGAAAGTTTGAACATTCATTACATTATGAATTGATTTTTCTTTTGTTCTGCCCTTTCTTTCGTTTGTTAATTATTAGAGCAACGACGATAACCCTTTTTTTCCACGTTTCATGATTATCGATTGTATTGGACGGAGAAAAAAATAGAAAATGATGATGATCAGGTTTGTTGTTCCAAATGTCAAATAGGATTTTCTTATTTTCAATGTTGTTGTTTTTTTCTCATTAGTTTTTGCTTTTTGAGGATTGGCTGTGTCGTCATCCACATCATCATCGTCGTCGTCTTCGTAATCAAGGAATAATTAATTCTGAAGGAGAAAAAAAAATCTATCGAATTCATTTCTTTCATTCTTCCATCATCCATTCCGTCTTTTTGTTTTGGATTAGATTTTCTTATTCATTATGCTATTTTTGTTGTTGTTTGTTTGTTTGTTTGTTTGTTTGTTGTTGTTGTTGTTTTTTGATGGCTTTTCACAAGAATTTGACCATTTTCATTGTTCATCTAAACAAGTTTTATTTTTTTTTAATTTTTTTTTCTTGCTAGATGATGATGATGATCACATTCGAATTCTTGATTTGTTTTTTTTTCATTTCTATTTGGGTTTGTCATTTCTTTTTGGATTTGAATTGCATCATCATTTTGTTTCTTATAGCTTCCAAATATAATGCGATTCAGAATGTTCTCCAATGATGATGATGATGATGATGAAGGAAATTTTCTCAGAAATAAAATGAGATATATAATGAAAGAAAAAAAAATCCCGGCTATCGAGAATTCAGGCTATTAAAGCATCATACAACGATGATGATGATGATGTGACAATCTATTCATTTATTCATGTATTTTTGTGTGTTAGGATTTTTTGTCATTCATTATCCACACACACACATTGACACACATTTGATTATTGCTCATTAAAGTTTATTATTCAATTCATTTTCATCAGCAATTTTTTTTTCTCTCACCCTTTTTTTCTGCAGAGAATAATCGAAATAAAAAGATTTCAATAATTTTCCTCTCATCCATATATAATACGCGGAATAATGATGATGATATTATAACAGGATTTTCTTGAGAATTTTTGTTGTTTTTGTTTTTCTTTTCTTCAAGAATTCCTATTATCATCATTATATTTATAAAATGTGATTTTTCTTTTCTTTTTTTCGTTCATCACTTTGTTTGCTTGAAAAAAGAAATTCATTTAAAATCTTTAAAATAATTTCTTCTTCAACTCAATTATTCGATTATCTGTATTTTATTTTATTTAAAAAAAAATCATTTTAAAGCAATGACGCATTTAGTTATGACGTTCGATATAATCGATTGAGAGAATATTGAGAATCATTATGCAATAATGAAGATTTTTGCTTTTTGGATTTTTTTTTATTCAAATATAAAAATAATTATCATTAAGAATTTATTTTGAAAAAAATGATTACAGAATAATTGTTTTGAATTTGATTCAATTATCATCATCTTCTTCATATTTTTTTTGATTCAAAAGCATTTTTCTTCAAATATGAACAACATTCATCCCCTAGAATAGTAAAAATAAAACAAATTTTTTGTTGTTTTTGATTCTGAAAATTCTTGAAAAGTATGACAACAACAATAAAAAAAAACAATGAATGAATTAATGCAGCAGCAGCTTCGAAGAAGAAGAAGAAGAAGAAAATTGACAACGCTAATCATAGCAACAACAACAACAATAATAAATTACAAAGTTCATGACGACACCAGTCACAAAACTAAAACTAAAGAATTTTCAAACAAACAAGAGTGAAAATGATATCCATTCCAATTTTTTTTTTGTTCGGAAACAAAAGAGAAAAGAATCGATTCGAATCAAGCAAAAAAACGGACAAAAAGAAATGAGAAATAGAAAAAAAAATGATGAAACACTATGGTACGTGAAACGGAACCAAGAAAAAAAAATTCATTGAAAAAAGTTTGTTTTTTGATTTCATTTTTTTTCTCGTTTCGTTATTTTTAGATTCAGGAAGTTTAACTGGAAAAAAAATTTCAGTTTGTTCCATCATCATCATCACTTGGATCAAATCAAATTTTTTTTTTGTGTGTGGCATCCCCATGAAACTTTATAATATTTTTATAACAAAAAATGAACAACAACAAAACGCCCATCCTAAATATAAGAATTTCATCATCTTTGAAAAGTGGAAAATTTTTTTTTCTTCTTTTGTTTCAACAAACCATGTGTCATTTTTCTTCGTTTCATTTTGTTTTTCTTCAAGTTTCTCACTTGAGTTTTTTTTTCGCTTCCCATTGTAAATGTTGTCCGGGATTCCATTTCCATTCATTCATAGGATCGGCATCATTCTATGACATGATCATCATTCGAAAAATAAAACAACAACAACAACAACAAAATGAAATGAGATAGTGTGAGGATGGTGAAATGAAATTTATAATTCTTGACAAGACATATCGAGTGTATGTGTGTGTGTGTGAGAGAGAGAGAGAAAGATTTTTTCTCTTCTTTATTGCATTTATTCTTTTGTGGAATTGAATCGAAAAACAAGTGTAGTATATATGAATTTTGAATTGAAATTGTTTTTTTTCTCTCATTTTGTTTGTTCATTGGTGTTATGTGACACTTATTAGGGTTATATCTTTCAATTCTTATAATGAATGTGAAGGGTTCAATTTTTTTTTCTCTCCTTATTGTTCATTTTTTCTCAAAAAATAAAATAAAACAAAATTTATTTCATATACAAAAAGAATTTATTTATGATGATGTAAAGTTTATTACTTTACATTGGCTTTGTTAGGACCCTTTTTTTTGTCAATTCGATTGTGATACGAAGTAATTTTGACAGCGACAATATTTTTGACACGGTTTTTTTCCATGATCAATATCCGTGATGGTTGATTTAGTTGTTTTAAAATTTAAACTTTTTTCCTCGATCTATTGCTGCCATCTATCGATGATCGCTTCGATTTCTTTTCAAAAATATTTTTACAAAGATCAATAAAATTGGAAATTCATTTTATTTTAAATATTTATATAATAATTCAAATGAATAATAAAAATAATGAACAAGAAAGAGAAAAAGAAATTTGTAAACCAGAACAAAACAGCCAGTTTGGATACAAAATGAATAATAAAGAATAATATCAAAATGGTGAAAAAAAAGGAAAGGAACAAAAATCTGGTAACCAATCAATGAATTATCGAAGAAGACAAATGTTGTAATGAAAAAAATGGAAAAGGAAAAAAAATTAAATAAGACGAAAATTATGGAATTTGAAGAATTGTCGTTTGCTGTTGTTTGAATGTTTTTTTTGCCATTAATGAATTTTGACCAATCACAAAATATTTTCACATGAAACGTCTTGGCGTCATTTGTTGTTGCTGTTGTTTAGCTTTACTCATCCAAAGATGATTATGTATAGTGAATGCATCAATTGTAACGCATAAATGTTTAGTCTGAATTGCTGTAAAACTTTTTGTACCCGAATTGTATCTATAAATACAATATTAAAACAACAAAAAAAAGATGATTAAATTTCAATCGAAATAAAATATCCAAATATTTTCTACTTACTTATAGAATTTATCAATCATATCATTATGTACAGTTTTTGGTCCAATACCATCCAATTTGTTCACTTCTTCACGTTCAGGATTATACGAATAAATGGCTCGATATTGTAGACCAGAATTACGAAACAATATCAAATAATATTTACTATCACATTTATTTATCACCTATTTTTTCAATTTGAAAAAAATAATTATCGATTATTAGAAAAACCAAAAAAACAAATACTTACTTCAGTGACACGACGATTTGTATCGGCATTGACCGTACCGGCCAAAACAACATTTATAGCATTCAATATTAATGCTTTATTCGATTTTTGACTTGGTTTTACAAACAATTTTGGACCATTATATTCTTGAAAAAAATTACTTGATGTTGGACCTTGATTTTGATTGTTACCCGAAGATAGATCTGTACCGAATGCAGAAAGACCAGCAAATGCTGAATGTTCACCAAAAGCACCGGTTGGTGTAGACACAGCCGTATTGGATGATGAATTCAAACAAAGCTGACTACTCATTGCTGATTGTGGTCTTGAAATGCTAGATGTACCAGTGATTGATGCTGCCGATGATAATCGTCCACAGCTCATTAGATCATCGATTTCATCACGTGATGTACTTAATCTTGATGATGATCCAGATACTGAACCTGAAATAGTAGATAAAGCTGCTGAACATTCATCTAATAATGTAGCATGTAATGATTTTGGTCTTGGTCGTTGTTGAGTTCCAGAACGCATTTTAACTTGTTGTTGTTGTTGTTGCAATGATTGACCACTACGATTTAGAATCAAGGTGGATGAACTACGTGCAACAGTATTTTGTAATGCAGCAACACCACCATTCTTTTCAATCTCCTCGGCCAATTGTTTACGACGTTTATATTGATCCAGAATGAATGCTCGTTTTTCACGTTCTTCTTCTTTTTTTCGTTCCATCTGTTCTCGTTTCAAACGTTCACGTTCACGCTTTGCGGCCAATTCCTGTTCTTTTTGTATACGTTTTTGTTCCTGTTGTGCACGACGACGTATTGATTGTTTCATGATTGCTTCTTTTTTACGTTGCATTTCTTCTTCTGATTTTCCCGAAATAGATTGATTATTCATTGATAATGAATGTAATCGTTGTGAGGATGTATCATCAGCATAATAATGGTCATCATTATCACTATTGATCATAGATCCGTTCATCATAAGGCTATCTTCTAATTGATGATTATCAATTGTATTATCATTTTGTATATCATCGGCTGCAATCACAAATGAAACGGCCGGTACCGATGGAATCGATGGTCGTCGTACATTATACAATTCTCGTATTCTTTCATCTATTTGATTATCAACATTTTGTGATTTTTTCGCCTGTTCTGAACTAACTAATGTTTGCGTTGCCGTTCTTGACAATATTGGTCTATCATTTGATTCCATTTTATTGGATTTTGTTCGTTTTGTCGGCTGTTGTTGTTGTTGTTGATTACCAGAATCATTGAATGAAATGAAAAATGTTTCAGTGGATGGTTGTGTTTTATTATTTGGATGTTGTTGTTGTTGTTGCTGTTCGTGATGACCATGTTGAATGTTTCCTTCCATGTTAGACTCAATCATTTGATTCGAATCATTTAAATTATTATTACTCATCAATTGTTGTTCGTTGACTGGAATTGTCGAATATTGTTGTTGAGGTGTTGAATGTGTTGGTGGTGGATATCCAGACATTGGTGATAAAACATATGGATCTTGTGATGTCATTGTATTAGTTGCTGATGGACTACCATATGCACCACCATATGGGTCATATGGACGCATTGGCTGTATTGGACCATAATTATATGGTGGATAAGTGGATTGCGGTGGTGGCGGCGGATGATGATAAGGAGATTGATGATGATGATGATGATACCATTGTGATGTTGGATCATATCCCATAGGCGGCGGTGGTGGTGCCGCTTGCGACCATGCTGGTGGATGATAAGGATGTGTTGTGGATGGTGGTACCACTGGTTGTGCCGGCGGTACACCATGCATCTGATGACCAGCCAATGGTATCATAGGTTGACCCCATTGACTTCTTCGTGGTGTTTGCTGTTGTGATGATTGTATTGTGGTTGGTGGTATTGATGATGTTGTTGTTTGTGAAGGTTGAATAATCGTTGATGATGGTTGCGTGGATATTTCTTGTTCTAACTTATTATGTTCAGATAAAATTGGTTCTGATGATAATTTTTGTTCATTGGATGTAATTTTTGTTTCCAATGATGAAATCTTTGATTCATTTACATTTGATTTGGTTGAATTTGAATCAGATTTTGTTGATGATGATGATGATGATTGATTACGATGATGATGATAATCTTTGGCATTTGCATAATTCAAATCGGTCATTGATGCTTTCAAATCATCCGAAGCTGAGAATAGATTTTTTCGTACAAATGTTGATTTATTATTTTTATTATTGGTATTCGATTCTGACATTGATGATGGAATACTGGTAAATGTTTTCTCACGTCTTATTGGATTTAATTCGTGTATTTCGAATGTTAAATTTTCATCATCAATATTACGACTAAAATCTATTGTATCCGAATCCTGATGTTGATGTTTTAAAGTTTTTAATACTTCTTGTCGAAAATTGTGATCAGATGAAACGCGTTTCTGTTTTTCTTGTTGTCGTTCCTGTTCAATTTGTTTACGTTTTTCATTCAATTGAGCACGAATCATTGATTGATCAGCAGCAGTAGCAGTGCCAGTGAGTGTTGAATAATCGGACATTTCCGCTATACTTGATGTATCACTAGAATTTGTTTGGCTATCATTGGCAATAAAAGAATTGTGATGATGATGTTGCTCATGATGTAATAATTGTTTAACATTATCAGCATTATTTGGATGTTGTCGTTGTGCACGAACATGTGTATTAATGGCATTGTTATTGGTTTGTTGATCAACAACATTTACATTGGAAAGACTTGAGAAATAGTCATTAAGATGACTACCGGATGCACGTGAACGATTCTTATTATATTCATTATTATCTTTGATCATTGTACCATGATTATTATTATGATTGGATGGTGTTAAATTCATACTTGAAAAATATTGTGATAATTGTGTTACATTTGAATCACCATTTGGATTCGTTATAGGTTCGGCGTATAGATTTTCTTCCACATCGGGTGATTGATCATGTAAATGATGATGATGATTATTATTATGTGAAATTATTTCACTACCATTCGATAATAATGATGATCGTCGATTCATTGATTTATTTAATGAATTTCGTCTAGATGATGAACCTTGATGATAATTAAGTGTTAAATTAGATGATGTTCGTTGTGGTTGTGTATATGATGGTCGATCATAGATTGGATGATTTGGAGGATATTCATTATTATTATTGTTCATCATACCGGCAACACTTGATGATGTTTCAATCGAATCATTATTATTATTATTATTCCATGATGATTTTAATGATTTTGCTTTCATTTCTGATGGTGTTAACATTTGTGGATAACCTAGAAGGGTTAGAAAGAAGGTAATATAGATTATATAATTTAATTTTAAAATAAACAACTTACTTGGTTGATATTCTTCCTGAAATAATTCCGGATATAAACGAATATATGGCGGTGTAACCGATTCAACTGGTTGTATTTCAAACATAAATAACAGATCGGCAATAAAAGCCAAAAAATTCGGCACAATCGGTTCGGGTAAGTATAGAAAATCTTCCAATAATAGAAAACAAATATCGGAAGGAAATAATTCTTGACAAAAATATTGTATTCGTTGTAGATTATAGATAGAATCAGCAATAGAAATATCTTGTTTAAGGCAAATTTCACGCCAATCAACATGATCAGGACAATAGAATGCCATTAATGCAAATAATGAACATCCATCACACATATCACTTAGTTCTTCCAATGAAGGCACACATACTGGTGGTTGACAATCACCACCTTCATCCGATTGTTGTTGAGTTAAAATATAATCTCTTGAAATCTCCTGATTTAGTTGAGCACAGGCACGATTTACCCAATAAAGTGCAACATCTTCAGGTTCAGTACTTGGTGGTAATTCCGTATAAACACCATCAATATCTTCACCGGAAAATCGGCTAGTCACTTCCATCACTTTGATTGGTATTAATATTTCACGTATATACAACATCATTATACATTCAATTATAACCATATGAGCAGCCTTTAATTAACAATCAAAAAAAACAATAGTATTAGTTAGAAAATTATTTAAAAAATTAAAATACTAACCAGTTTAACTGGACAATTTTTCAACAACATTGTTTCAGTTATATGTTCACCTATTTCGGCAATACCAAGCTGATCGGTAAAAACACCACGTCTAGTTAATAATTGTAATATATTTTGATGGCTAAATGATGAATAATCCGGTACACCATATATATTGGCCAATGCACGACCATATAATTCACCATTAGCCATACGTTGTGTAATCCATGGTTTTAATAATTCTTGTCCATGATGATCACGATAGAATGGATCACGTAATTCAGGTGGTATACGGCCATTATCTGTTGATTTTGCAATCAACCATAATATTGAAGCTCGATGTTTTGCCTATTTTTGATTAATAAAAATTTGAAAAAAAAGAAAGATATTAATTAATTAATCTCGAAACAAAAACAAAATAATGACAAAAATAGAAAAACAGCAAAAAGACAACAAGGCTAATTATAAACTTGATCCAATTTTTTAAAAAATAACAATTGTGTCATCATCATTATTACACGTGCAACACTTACACAGACCATAAAAGTCGTTTTTCATTCAAAAAGTCTTATGTCCGATAATATATTTTACATAATAATATTGAACAGGAACCATAAATATCTAAATATGGTTCGATATTTTACTAATGAAATTATAAATACATCAAAACACACAGACACAGGAACCTTGCGCTACATTTTTTTTTCTTGTTACATGTGAAAAATATGTGATAAAAAAACGACAAATTCAACAAAAACATTTTGCACTCCGAAATGTACAAACACCACACACTTTTTACAAGGACCATAGATATTCGTTTTTAAAAAATGACTTGGCATAAAATTGTTGTTGTTGTTGTCGAAAATGAATGAATGAAAAAAATCGTAATTAAATGATTTTCTATGAAAAATAACATTTTATTTTTCGTGAATTTTGCTTGTTCCAGAAACGTTTGTTCATTCTTTGTGTGTGTAGGTGGTCATCAATTTCATCGATCATTACAAGATAGACACACAAACACACACCTTTAAATAATCATCATACCTGTTTAATCATTGTTAAACATTTTTGTTGTTGACCAATATTATCATTATTTTTAAATGAACGACGATGTTTATTATGTTGTTGTCGTTGTTGTTGATTTTTATGATGAAAAATTCGTCCCATCATTTAAACAGTTAAACAAAACAAATAAAGGAGAGAAAGGAAGAAAAAATAATTCACACCATATACAAAATCATTGTACAAATAAAGAAATCAATCAATAAAATTCCAGGATCCAAATCAATTGATCAATACAACAATTTTCATCTAATAAACAATAGATCATAATTGATGGCGTATCAAAGAAGAATATGATCTGCCTGAGTTGTTTTTCCTTTTTGATATCTAGCTACATAGTAATAGTTGGATTAATTAACAAACAACTACCATCATCATAGGAAAGAAAATGATGATGATGTTTAAAACAATGGAAGTAAATTTTTCGGTAAGAGTAGTGAAGCATATAGGTAGTGCAAATTCATTATGATTATCATCACATTAATGGATTAAATTACTAAACAAGAAAAAACATACACCCTAATGATGATGATGTTAATTCCGATTGTTATTTTTATCGTTTTATTTTTATTACAAAAAACACAACAAATTTTTTGTCATTCAGCTTATTTTCTCTCTGTAATCATCATTCTTCCATAATGATAGATCAATCAAATCAATAAGAAGAAGAAGAAAAAAAACTAAATCTAATTTACAAAAGGTATTTTCAATTCAATTTCAATTCACCTATGGAAAAAATTATTTCAACATTTAAAGATTGATTGAATTGAAGAAAAAAATTCAATTCCTACAAATTTATCAAAATGATTGATTCAATAAATAGCAATTTTTGTTTTGTTGTTGCTATTTCCTTTCAAATGATCCAAAAATGACATAGTTCGTTCCAAATTGAAATTTAGGAAAAAAAAGTAGTTTGTATAGAGAGAGAATTATTTAAAGTAAAAAATTGAATACGATACACATTTATAGATTGAATCTAATATCACACACACACACATACACACATACACAATGGACGGAAATCTAAAATTAGATGTTGTTTTTTTTTTGGCCAACACAACATCCCATTAAGATTTTGCCAACAACATTTTTCCACAAATCGGTCAATCAGTCAGTCATTCAGTCAAGCAGTCCGAGATTCGATTGGTTGATCGATCGATCTGTCTTGTCGAAGATGGACAGACAGAGTAAAAAAAACTATTTTTTTTTTCATCCAACACCATTACATCTCATCTAAAGAAGAAAAAAATGGTTAAAGATTTACATCAACAAGTAGATGGTCGGGAAACAACGAAAAAAAAATGAAAATTAATTATCAATTCAACAAAACAACAACAACAACAACAACAGTGAAAATGAAACAAAATCCGATTTGCTATTTGGAAGACATTATTATTTATGATTTTTCTTTCATTTACTTTTGGTTACTGAAAAACCAATGAAAAATAAAATCAATCGCCACTCCTATATCAATCATCGATTATGATTAACCGATATATAAATGAATTGAATCTCAAAAAAAAATCGGTTTTCAATTTCACAATTTTTTTTTGCCAATCAATTGACAGACATTTAATCCCATCACATCATTTATTCATTGAACTAAGTTATGCAGATTTTCAAATAAATCCTATCGAAAAAAAATATTACGTGATATTTGTAGGATAAAGAAAGTGGAAAAAAAAGGATTATTATACCAGTTTTTTTTTGTCTTGTTTCATGAAGCTGTATGTATTATTTCACCAAAAGCCAAAAACCAAGCCTTTGAATTTCATTTGTTTCTTTTTCAATGAAGCTAAAACACTCCACCCTCACACAAAAAAGGGTTAATTTCCTGAAACACTTGCATACACACAAACACACACAGTTAGCATCCTAAAATGGAAAACATCCGAAAGGGGTTTATATTCATATATGTGACCTGAATAATCATAGGCTTCAAGCTTATTGAAACGGCGAGAAAAAAAAACATAATTAATAATCAGATCAATGTAATAATCATCAACATTAGATTAACAAAGTTTGGCTATAGGCCAACGAAAAAAAAAAATCAAAAAAAAAATGATTATTAAAAAAACCAAAAATAACCAAATCATCAGATTGGAAAATCAATCAGAAATATAGAAATATGAAAAAAGATGAAATAATCGATTTTTTCTTTCTTGGATTCAAATAACCAAAAAATCGATTGTCATCATCATTAGTGTTGAATATATAAACAGATAAACATCATCAACATTGTTTTCATCGTGGAAAAAAATTGGTTGTTTTTGTGAAAAAAAAAATTGTTTTCTCTCTCTTCATATATTTGTGTAAATAAGTTGATCATTTTCTTTATCCGAATCTATGTATGAAACTCAAAATAGAAAAAATAATGGACAAAAACCGAGTTGATGATGATAACCCCTTTGATTGGATAACCAAACTGAAAAAAATGACGACTACGGCGGGATAAAAGTTATGATACTTTTTTTCCACTACCCGAATCAATCGAATTGAATATTGTAACAAGTTGTTAGTGAAATAAAATGTTGTTCGGTATGCAGGTAATCACCCTATATAAATGTGTTGTTTTGCAACAAACAACCAAAAATGATGATAATCATCATCAAATGGATATAACCCTCATCATTATCATCATTATCAAACAATAACCAGTTTGAAAATGAGAAAAAAGGCCACAGTTATTAGGGTAAAAGTAGATAAAGAGAAAAATTGATACGATGATCAATAATGATGTGATGTGATTGAATCCCAGTTACAAAAACACACACCAAAACAAAGATTTTTTTAAAAAAAGAATTTTTAATCTTGTTCTATATAGAAAAGCTAACCCATTGTATCTGTTGCATAGTTCGATGATTATTATTGTTGATCATTAATGATGATGATGAGGATGCTGATAATGGTAATGGTAATGATGAATGTTTTGATATCAAAGATTGATGATGATCATGATGATCATGATCATAATCATCATTAACATTAACAATAATATTTTCTGGCTGATTATTTGATTCTTCAATCAATGAACATGATGTTCTTGTTGATGATGATGATGAACAAGATGATGATGTTGAACGAATTGAATTATTTAAATGTTTAGCTGGTTTCAATTGTTTTTGTTGTTGTTGTTGTATGGATGATGATGATGATGATGATGTTCGTAAATTTAGCATTGATTTTGATTTATTCATCGATGATGAATGATGACGATGATTCTTTGATCGAATCATTTGAAGATTTTGTTGTTGTTGTAAAGAAGATTCTTCAGCTGCTGCCATCATCATCATCATCATTTGTTGTTGTCTTGTACGATGTTGTTGTTGTGCCATTAGATAACATGATTTTGAATATGGTGTTAATAATAATAATGAATGTTCACGTTGATTAATCGATACATTTCGATCATCATCATCATCATCACCAAGATTTATTTGATTAGGATTATGTTTTTGATGATTATCATTAACATCATCTTGATTATTATTATTATTATTATTATTATTAATCATTATTAATGAATCATTTGGATCTAATGACCATTGTGATTGATGTAAACGTTGTTTACGAAAACGTTCGGTTGGATATATTTTTGATGGTAATTTACCATTATTTATATCGAATGAATTACCAATAATCAAACGATTATTATTATGATGATGATGATTATCCAACGATTGTATCGTTGATGTTAGATTCGATGTTGAACGTGCCGTTAGATATACCATTTTGTTATGTGTTAAATGATGAAGACCACCGCAAAAAAACAAAACACAGAATCAAGAATAACTTTGGAAAACTTTATGAAAACAGGGAAAAAATGGCCAACATCACAAAACAACAATGTCGAAAAAAGTGTTCTGGAATATATGAACAGAGTTGATGTGAACATCAATCGTGAACTACATCCGAGAACGACGATGACGACAACACCCACATTATATTAGAATTAAAAAAGAGAACCACCGAAACTACAATAACAACAACAATCATTATTTACAAAACAGACAAACAAAAAACAAAAAAATCATCATAACAAGAGAAGGATGCAAACAAGAGAGAAAGATTGTGTACATTCCAGAAACACAGAACAACAACAACAACAACAACAACAAAAATCGAGTTCAAAGTTTCAATCTCATGAACATTTCACAAATACAACAGACCAACAAGACTAAACACAATAGAAATGATTGGTCTCGATTTGATTAACGTTTGATGCGTTGATGATGATGATAGGCGCCAAAACAAAAATTCATCTACTATTCCTATCTATTTGGGAA